TAGGGAAGACTGGATAGATAGGGTTGGGGACATATGGGAAGTTGGTCAAACCTTTAAAACTGCTCTAAAAATAACGAGGTTTTTGTTTTGTTGTGTTTTTGTTTTTTGTTTTTTTTTTAAAGAATGACATAGATCTGCCTAGTTATGCTGACATGGAAATTCCCATTATATAAAGGATAATCCCATATATGTTTTGGTCTGTATCTGAATGGAAAGCAAAAGAATGACGAGGATGCACACTAGGTTTTTACAAGGGCTGTCTCTGGGGATTGGGTTGTAGAGTTTGCATAAAAGCAGGGAAGCAAAGGAATTTTGCTTAAATGCGCCTGCATTGTTTTAGTCTTTTACAGTAAGAATGTGCTCATGTTTTAATCTATTGATAATGCATTCATATATTACTTATAACAAGAAAATAATATTTAAAATAATAGTTCTATACTCATTACATAGAAAACTTAAAAAGCATGTTCCTCAATACAGAGATAAGCATTATTTAAATTTTATACATTTTCTTGTGGGTTTTTTTGTTGTTTTGTTTTTTGGTTATAGATAGACTTTAATTGAGTTGTAGTTTTGGTTCCATATTTTAAAACAGCTTTATTCTGTGAGAATTTTTCAGTGTCATTAAAAATTCTTTGAATAGCTGGGCCTAGTGACACATAACTGTAATTCCAACTGCTTGAAGGGCTGAGGCAGGAGGATCACAAGTTCAAGACCCAGCATCAGCAACTCAGTGAGACCCTGTCTTAAAATAAAAGTAAAGGGCTGGGTTTGTGGCTCAGTGGTAAAGTGCCCCTGTGTTCAATTCCCAGTACAAAAAAAAAAAAGTGTGTGTTTTCTTTGAACATATTTTCTTCAACTGTCTGATTGTGACACATCTGTACTATGAAATATTGATTTAACGTTTCTCTAATGTTGAGACCTCATTGCTCACATCTGTATGTGTAACTATATCTTGAGAGTATTCAATATTTCCTTATGATCAATTTCTAAATGAAATATCACCTTTATTAAAAGATAGATACAATTTTGAAGTTGTAAATACTCTTAACAAGATTTTAATTGTATAAAAACAAAGCAAATTATTTTAAAGCATAAGCAAAAACCATAGAACATATTTTTCCATAGTACATGAATTTTAATAAAGCAGTAGACTGATGGGGTTGCTCTTGTTATGATCTCTCTTCCCTCATTTTCTGTTGTTAGTCATTCTTTCCCACCTATGAAAGTTTGTATTCTTTCTTTAATGCTTTGAAATTTCTTCATTTCTTAAAAAGAGCAAATCAAGATTCCAATACAGCCAGCTTGAATCAATCTTTCTGTTTCTCTTATGAATAGACAGTTCCTCCAGGCAGTGAATTAGACCTTTGGAAAACATGGGAATTGTGTTTCTCTACCCTGAGTGTCTGAAATAGGTGGCCTGGAATGCATTCAAAGAGAAACATTGTGTCAGATCCTCAAATCTAAAGATGAAATCCTGTTTTTACTTATTATAGGTAGTTTTTATTGTTGTTGCAGCTGTTGCCATTTGTTCTGAGTTACTAAATTTTTTTAAAAATTATAATAAGTCCATTCCCAAATTTAATTTAGCATTAAATTATTAATGGATTAATATAGTTGATTCTGGTTTTTTATTATAGAAATGTACCAGAAAAGGTTGCTTTTAAGGGAATCCTGTGCCAAATACCTTTTTAAATATAGGGTATTGTGTAACCGATGTGATTCTGCAAGCTGTGTATGGGGTGAAGGTGGGAGTTCATAACCCACTTGAATCAAAGTGTGGAATATGATATGTCAAGAAATTTGTAATGTTTTGAACAACCCACAATAAAAAATTAAAAATAAAAAAAATAAATAAAAAATAAATAAATATAGGGTATTATCCCTCCCTTTTTTTTAATAAATGTGTGTTGTCTAATATTTAATATTTCTAAATTCAGAAATATTTTTGTAGTTCAGTCTACAGTATTAGCAGTAATTTGTTTTTACTTATGAACTAGATAATATCCCCACAGGATTTTTTTTTTTTTTTAAGAATTTTTTTTCACAACACCTTTATTCTATTTATTTGTTTTTATATGGTGCTGAGGATCAAACTCAGGGCCTCACACATGCTAGGCAAGCAGTCTAGCACTGAGCTACGGCTCCAGCCCAGTATCCACAGGATATTGATATCCCGTGTATTCTAACTGAGTTTATTACTGCAAGAAAACAGTAGTTCTCACAGTTGTGGTACCCACAGCCAGTTGCATCAGCACCATCTGGAAACGGGTTAGAAATGCATATTCTTGGGCCTACCCCCATCCTACTCAGGAGGTGGAACGCAGCAACCTGTGGTTTAACCATCCCTTTGGGTTATCTTGATATATGTCAAAATTTGGAACTGCTGGTTCACATACTATATATAAAGTAGGAAACAATTCCAACTCTTACTGCTTGAGGCCTGCTTTTGGTTTAATTCCAAGGTGCATATTAGGAACTATAGCAGTAGTGCTTCTAGTAGCTATGTAGATGAAAAACTGATAGCAAAGGCAGCCTAACAAGAGTTGCTTTCATTGTTTCCAGTGTTGAGATTTTAGAAATTAAGCAGTGAGCCAAGAATCCTTCACTATTGAGTCAAACTAAACTGTTTCAGTATTTAAGATAATTAGAAGAAGCTTCTTCTTTGAAAACATCATTTAGATTGTGCCTCCCTTTATTACCAAGATACTTAACGTGACAACCCATGAATGTAGGGTTTCACATTTAAAGTGCATAAAATTATTCTCAGAATTAAGGAATTCTTGAATGCCCTCACTTTCAAAGCTTTTAAGTTTTAAATAATTGCAAATAGACATAAGTACCTTAAAGACATTTCATTTATATAATTAAGGTTTAAATCCCCTTATTGGCTTATTTTATGTAATCATTAACTTTTTGTATAATATCTACCTATTTGGTTATTTTTAAAACACTTAATGGGACAATATTGTGCTAATACCTGTGTGTTTTTTATTTGAGGACTCCTCTACTCCTGAATTTAAATGTTACATACATTTTTAAATTTTTTCAGATGGCTACTTTAAGATGGAATATTTACTTTTTAAACTTGGCTTTATTTTATAAATGGGGGAACCCTTTTATAAAGAACTAGATCTCCTTGCTAATTTGGGCCTTGAAGTTTATTTTGGCTCTTAAATGTATAGCAGATTTATTTTTTCTTTTAACTTAGGAAGATAATTGCTCTCAAGAAGAAGTGTAACTGGTTTGGTGATGTTGTATGTCTGGCATAGCTAATAGATCTTATTTGTGCTGTGTATTTGAATCAATGACTAGACAACTAGTAAAGAAAGCTTACAATACTCCCTTCATGCATACTGAGAAGTGAGAAATTTCCCAATGCCAGGACAAAGCTGCCAAACTTTTAAAGATAGTATTTCCTAATTTTAAATTAAAAAAAAAATTTAGATGTTATTTACCTTCTCTCTATAACTAGATTATATTGTGGAAGGTCAGTTTCTTATCAAACAACAGAAATTCATCCTGTCATTAATTATTTTCTAAATGTTTATAACTCAAGAGTGAGGGAGGTATGGAATATATTTTTGAATAGTCTTTCACCTAATCAAATGAGTCTGAAATTTTCAACTAGAGTAAAAGATGTGGACAATTTAATGTTGGAAATTTCCTGTGCTTATTTTATTAGTCATGGACCAGGTAAAATTAATAACATTGAGAAAGCAAAACAGTGTTCAGAAGTTTCTTATCCCTTTTGCTGTAGACCTAGTCACACACTGATGAATAATCTGTATCTAGTCTTTTATGCTGGTATTATTTAATCCATTTCCACATATAATTAATCTGCTTTCTCAGTTGAGTAAAATATCTGAATCAGTCACTCCTAAAATATGTGAAACAAGCCAGATATGGTGGTACACACATATAATCTCAGCTACTTAGGAGGCTGAGGCAGGAAAATTGAAAGTTCAAGGGCAGCCTGGGCAACTTAGTGAGACCTTGTCTCAAAGAACAAAAAGGGCTAGGGGTGCAGCATAGTGGTAGAGCACTTGCCAAAAACACCTGAGACTCTGGATTCAATTTCCAGTATCATGAAAAGAAAAGAAAGAAAAAAGTCTACAGAATTTTTCTTGTGTGAGAGTTTAGGATGTAAAGTATACAGTTCCTCATAAACTATTAACGAATAAAAGGTGGGACTGGGGATGTGGCTCAAGCGGTAGCGTGCTCGCCTGGCATGCGTGCGGCCCGGGTTGGATCCTCAGCACCACATACAAACAAAGATGTTGTGTCTGCCAAAAAAAACTAGAAAATAAATATTAAAAAATTCTCTCTCTCTCTCTCTCTCTCTCTCTCTCTCTCTCTCTAACTCTCTCTACTCTCTTTTAAAAAAAAAAGAATAAAAGGTGATACAATCATTATTAACTATTAATGAAACAGATCCTAAGACTACAAATCTACAAGAAACAATGTAGGGTATTTTGTAATGGCTTTAGTTAGAAGCAAAATGAAATTTGAAGAAAGAACTTGTATAAAACATAAATATTTTTTACTTTTCAAGTTTAATCTCTAATTAAATAACAGACCTCAGATTATTTGGGGCAGAGGTGGTGAGTCAGATAAATGAAGATGTATAAAAGATTAAAGTCATATTGTTCATTTTTCCTCATCAAATAAGAGTATATTTAAAACAGTTTTTTTCAGTCTAATGATTCATTGTCCTTGGTTTTCCTCAAATGAGAGAATTAGTTTTATTGTTGTTTTTTATAATTTTTAGATGGACACATATCATTATTTATTTTTTATGTGGTGCTGAGGATCAAACCCGGTGCCTTACACTTGCAAAGCAACCGCTCTCCCACTGAGCCACAGGCCCAGCTCCAAGAGAATTAATTTTGGGGGTAGTCTTTTTTTACTTTTTTGTGTCACAGGCCTGAGCCAGAGATAAATTTCATTTGTTTTCAAAAGTTAATCTTAGCAAACCATTTTATGCTTTGATTCTCTAGTGGTCTGAGGGAAGCCAAAAGCAGGCAAACCTACAGAAGAACATTGAGAAAGCTAAAATAGGCCGACATGAGACGGTAAGTTTGTGTCTATAGTTTCTTTAATAATGGTACTTTTATTTTTTTATTTATTTCTTACATACATGATCATTTATGACAATAGTGTAATGCATTACATTCAAAATTATTCATTCATAATAATGATAATTTTAAAGAGAAGAAAAAGAGCTTCCTGTGAGGAGGGTTCCATTTTCACCAGAGAGAAGTACCAGAGGATGTAGGAATTGAATCCAGGCATTATATAGATTGTACATGTTTGTGTGTGTGTGTGTGTGTGTGTGTGTGTGTTTTAGCATAACACAGAAACAAACTTGAGCAAGACTCTCTTATTAAATCCTCTGTTCTCCGTTTTCTCAGTTGTAAAATTGGGTATAATAAAATGTACTTCATTTGGTTATTGTTTGGAATAAACTAGTTTATATTTGCAGATATTCTGATACATAGTAAACCCTATTAAACATTTATGTATACTTTTAAAATTTTTTTAATATTTATTTTTCGGTATTTGTAGTTGGACACAATAACTGTATTTTATTTATTTATATAAGGATTGAACCCAGGGCCTTGAGGCAGCAAGGCAAGCACTTTTTTAAAAATTTTTGTATATAAACTAAAAATAATCAACAGAGTATCCTTGTGTCGCTATAAAATTTTGAAATTATTCAAATGAACATTGATCTATTTTTAAAAGTGCCATGTGCTCTAAAGTATTGTTAGAGAGTTTTTAAAAATCACCTCACTTTCTGGTTTCATCATTGTCTCAAGAATGATTTTTATGAAAATATTTTTTAAATATTGAAGATCAACTTAAACCGCTAAGCATTCCACCTAAGTCTCTATTTGTATCACTTAACTGTGAAAGAAAGTGACCTGAAAACTTGTTATATCACGAAAAGGAATGCATCTTAGGTTTACAGTGGCTTTATGCTTACAGAGTAGCTTCATGTTAGTAGTGAGCACAATCACAGGTAGCAAGCAGAGAATGATCATTTTTGTGGAACATTTAAAAGAAGGTAAATTCTGGGCTTAACTGAAGCTGTTATAATTACTTCTTCAGTTGACAATAGCAGTTATCAATTCTTTATTTTTTTAAATATTTATTTTTTAGTTATAGGTGGACACAATATCTTTATTTTTATGTGGTACTGAAGATCGAACCCAGTACCTCACGCATTGTTGGCGAGCGCTCTACCTCTGAGCCACAACCTCAGTCCTTCTTTATTTTATCCACTTTTTTCTTTAACACTGAGAGTAGCTTATAAAAACACCTTCAACTATTTGTAACATATGTATGCACTGAAATTGTAAGCCAGTGTACCTAAATGTTATCAGTCTACTGCATCCAGTGCAGCTAACCTTGTTGGAACCTTCACCTACTATCAGTCTGGTGTAGTAATTCAGAAAGATGAAGTCTTACCCGCCAGAATATATTTGTTGAATTCCAGTGATCCAAAAAGGTAGCTGCTACTATTATGTCTATTTTACATTTGAGAAACTAGAGGCACAAAGAATTTGAATAATTTGGCAAAAATCATAGTGCTGGTATCTAAGGTGACTTCAAGTCAGAGTGTCTGGAGAGCTGCCTTTGTATTCACATCGATGTTCTCCACTCTGTTTGTTGTTGTTTTATTAGCTTTTTCTCCTCTTGTTTTTCCTTTTAAAGCAGGTACAGTTTGGGTGTAGATGGCAAATAATGCCCATTTTCTTATATTCTACTTACTTTTAAATATTTCCTGAGCTGTGCTAAATGGTATATACTAACTATGCAGCCGTTTATATTAAAATTAGTTTCTCAGTCATAGTAGCCACATTTCATGTACTCAGTAGCCACATGTAGCTAGTGGCTCCTGTATTAGTACAGCCTAGAACATTTGTCATTGAAGACAGTTCTATTGGCCTGTCTTGCTTCAGATCATGTTGTTCTACATATTTATTCTGTACAAATGCCAGCAAAAGCAATTTACTGCATACTGAAACCAAAGGGAACGGCCAAAGGCAAAAGTAAAAAAAAGTACAAATATAAAAAATACAAGGTATCAAGGAATCTTTCACAAGTCCCATTTAGGCCATTTGAACTTTATTTGATTTTACTTCAGATTTATCTTGTAATTTTATACCATAATCTTTACCAGCATTTGGTTTTTGTTTGGACTTATTTTTTCAGGTTTCACAATATGAAGTGCATATCCATAGTACTATGACTTCTTGTTAGAACTGCAGCTAGAAATTTTAAATGGGGTTTATTGGATCTTACTCTATTTAAAAGTTTTAATCTAATTACCTTTAAAGGAAAATGGTAGGAGCCCTCAAGCTACAATTCTGTTATTTCTGATATCTTTAAATATGTACAAAGGTTACATACCCATCCTTAAAGATTGAAAAATTGCTCAGGATACTTTGTAACTGATGATCATATAGTGATTGATGTTAACATAAACTGTTACTTACATATGTATATATGATCTTGTGAAATTACTCAAAAACCAGAATAATTATTTTCCCTAATATATGATAACATGGTCATCTTTGAGTTTATATAGGCATGATCAGTAATGTCTCAGCTATGCATAAGCATTTCATTCCATATGTTTATTTACATTTTTCAATATATACTAAGAATTCTTGATTTCAAACATAAAAATTGAGCTTGTTCTTACACTGTGCATATATGTATATACAGTCATCCCTCAGTGTTCACAAGGGATTGGTTGGTTCTAAGGCCTTCTGAGGTATCAAATATATGGATGCTCAGTTCTCATATCAAGTGGCATAGTGTTTGCATATAACCTACATACACACATCCTCTCACATACTTTACATCCTCTCTAAATTACTTATAATACTAATACAATCTAAATGCTATGCAAATCGTTGTTATACTATATTATTTGTGGAGTAATAGAAAGAAAAAATATGTAAATATTTGGTGTAGAGAAATTCTGTGGGGGGGGTATTTTCTATCCATCATTGGTTAAATCTGTGGATACAGAATCCATGGATATGAAGAGCCAACTGTATAAATATAATATCTATACATGTATGCACACAGATATGTATATATTTTTGTATTACCTTATAACATATGGAATTTTATTTGTCTTAATTGTATATGAAACTGTTTTGAATGCAGGAAGAGAGAACCATGCTAGTGAAAGAGCTTTCTACTCTTCGGAACCAAAGGGAACAGCTTAAGGCAGAAGTAGAAAAATACAAAGAATGTGACCCACAAGTTGTAGAAGAAATACGTAAGTTTGTGCTTGATAATGAAAGAGACTTTGAACTTCTTGTTGCCCAGGAACCATCCTCTAAGTATGTGATAAAATCAGCTAAAATAGTATTCTGATTTGAGTGCTCTAACTTTGTAGTATAAAAGGGAAATATTACCTTAATATTTCCATTAGGTAGACTTAGTGTTAAAGCATTGAATAGTGACACTTTGAAATTAATAAGTAGGGCTACAGAGCACTTGCCTAGCATGTGTGAGGCACTGGGTTTATCCTCAGCACCACAAAAAACTAAATAAATAAAATAAAGGTATTGTGTTTATCTACAACTAAAAAATTTTTTTAAAAAATTAATAAGTATCATTTAAGTAAGGTGAATGAGGTAGAAGCATAAAGACATAAAATATAAACTTAGGAAATTGGGAGGTCAGAGAAGCAATTTGGACCCAGGCACCTTGATTCTAGAAAGAAATCCACCATAATCTTCTAAGAAAAAGAATATTATAAATATAAGTTTGCAAGTTGCATAAAAGTACTGTAAATTGAATTGCCTTTCTGCTTTTAAATCAATTACCAGTTTTTCGTTTTGTTTTGTTTTATTTGTGGCATTGGGGTTTGAATCCAGGGCCTTGCACGTGCCCAGCAAGTGCTCTACCACTGAACTACCCAACCCCGCAAAAGTAATTTTGAAAATTTTTGTTTATATGTAAAGATAGAAATTTGAAAAAATTAAAGAGTATGTTATAAAGGTAAAGGTACAGCATTTAATTGCTTAGAAAAACGTGTATTGCTTTCTTCATATTTTTCTATATCAGCCTTTTAAGGAACCTTTACCAAGTGAAACCAGTTTTATAGAGTGTAAGTGAAAGCTTTGAGAAATATTTGATACTTTAAAATTAACCTAAGTATTTTTATTACAATTAAGCTAACCTAATTCTTGGTAGTATTTTTTTAGAATTAAGAAAGTATAAAAAATCAGTTAGCATAAATCTAAAGTTAAAATTTATTTGAAGGTAGGTGCCTACGTTGCTCAATTCCAGGAGGCACTGTTCACCTGGTTCAGCTGATTTCCCCGGGTATTCTCAAAGAGTGAGAGGGAGAAAGAAAGAAAAACAGGGACAGAGGAAGGATGGAGAGCTCTCTGAACCACTCATTCTTTGTAAATTAAGTGTTTGGGGAGACATGTTAGTTTTTTTCATGCTGCCCACACATGCTGCAAAATAAAACAATAACCAAATCTACTGCTTCAAAATTAACCACTTTTGTCTGGGTGTGGTGGTGTAGGCCTATAATCCCAGCAGTCGGAAGGCTGAAGCAGGAGCATCACAGTTCAAAGTCAACCTCAACAACTTAGTGAGATTGCCTCAAAAAATAAAAAGGGTTGGGGATGTGGCTCAGTGATTTAGTGCCCCTGGGTTTAATCCTTGGCCTGGTACAAAAACAAAAATTAACCACTTTAATCTGATTGAAAGGTTTAACTACTATCAAATAAGCCTCAGTAAACACATGCAAATCCAATGTAATTGGGGACAAGGTAGGAACCTAGGCCTGCTCATGATTCCTCTTCAAAATCAAGCACACACTGCTTGGTCAAGAGGATATCAACTGTGTGCCTTATTTAGAGCATCTTGTGAAAGAGAGCTTTACAGGCAAGTTTCTTTCTTTCTTTCTTTGGTTGAACCCAGGAATGCTAATTTATCACTGAGCTGAATCCCCATCCCTTTTTTTTCATTTTGAGACAGGTTCTTGCTCAGGGTGGCCTCGAAGGCTGCACAGGCTGTGATCCTCCTGCCTTATCCTCAAAGTAGCTAGGATTTGCAGGTGTGTGCCACTGCAACTGCCTAGGAACAGTTTTTCTTAGCCAAATTTAATACTCTCAATTGATTAATTTTCAGGATCAACATGGCTTTGCCATCTAATAGTTTATGAAATTCCAAGTTTTCACAGTAACTAAATCTGATCCTTCATGTATTACTCTTACTTGATTCTGCCTTCTTTCTTTATTACAGTTTTGTGTAGTTCTTATACTTTTTCCTTAGAGTAATGCCTCTTTGCCTACCTGTCTCATTCTCTTTTATATTTAGGATTTACAACTATTAGGCACACTCAGTAAGGATTTAAGTTTTTCCACTCTGTGGTCCCTGTTGTACTGCCATGGGTGCTTCCCTTGGGCAGGTGAACCTGACTGATGTGTCCAGTTGTGACTTCCCATGTTTTACAGTTCTTTTCATGATCTTGATAACTTCTGTTCACTCAGGAATGACTAAAACTTTCATTTAAGTTCATCCAAGTACTTTGACTTAAAATGATAGTGATCTTAAGTTAATGGTTCTTCTTGAGTTTCAGGATATTAACAAGAATTGAAAATTGGGCATATGTTTTAAGATATTGGCACTGGATGTGGTAGCACATGCCTGTAATCCCAGCTACTCGGGATCCTAAGGCAAGTGGATCATAAGTTCAAGGCTAGCCTGGGCAATTTAGTGAGAATCTATTTCAAAATAAAATAAAAAGATAATCCCAGTTACTTAGAAGACTGTGATAGGTAGATTGCAAGTTCAAAACTAACTTCCACAACTTAACAAGATCCTGTATCAAAACAAATAAAAAGGGATGGGGATGTATCTCAGTGATGAGTCCCCCTGGGTTCAAGCTCCAATACTACAAAATTAATGAATGAACAATGAAAATGTAGTTCAGTAGTAGAGTATCAACAATCCCCAGTACCAAAAAAAAAAAAAAAAGCCCTCTAAATCTGAATCAAAATCATCAAGCAGCAATTTTGGCAAGTGTGTCATGTTTGAGAAAGGCACTAAAACTTAAAGTAAGAAATGTCAGGATACACAAAGGATGATGAATTTTCTAAAGCATATGATAACACGGTTGAGTTGCAGCTGAAATTTTATACTGCTTCCCTACATTCTGGTATCCACCTTAACCTTTAAATTTAAAAGTCTGATGATTTATTTTCCAGCCCAAGGAAATCATACCAATGTAAATGAGCAGATTAAATTTTATAGAAGAAAGGATTAATATATTTAAAGACATAGCAATAGAAAAAATCCAAAATGAAACAAAAAACAATTTTAAATATGAAAATGGCATCCTTGAGCCGTAGAACAACTTAACCTAATATATGTATAATTGGATCCAAAAAGGGGTCGGGGAGGCAGCGGGGAGAGGGAAGTTGGGCTAGAAAAATATCTGAAGAAATTAAAGCTAATGGGGCTGGGATGTGGCTCAAGCGGTAGCGCGCTCGCCTGGCATGCGTGCGGCCCGGGTTCGATCCTCAGCACCACATACAAACAAAGATGTTGTGTCCGCCAAATACTAAAAAAAATAAATATTAAAAAAAAAAAAAAAAATTAAAGCTAATTTGTTTCAAACTTGATGAAAACTACAAACTTACAGATCTGAATAATTTAAATATTTAATAGTCCAGAGGTGAGTTTCTTATCAATAAATTCAGAGAACTTTAAAAAAGCTCTAACCTCAACTCACCCCAAATTCCCTTTCCCCAATAAAATTATTGTTTTTAAAATATGCTTTTTGATAATGAGTGTTTTCATAGGATTTTAGCTATCATGTTAGTGCAAAAGAGATTATACTGGATTAAAAGGATTATGAGTTTTACAAATTGATTTTAATAGGATTTGATTCTGAATAGCTGCCTGTAGGACTCATATCACAGCACTTAGGCTTATCTAAGTCATGGTTTATTTTGGATAACACATTTTTCTGATAATAGCTGTTACCATGTTTATACAGGCATGGCTATATACTGTGTCTTAATTCTTGATCATGCCTGCAAGAAATATTTATATTTCACCATGCCAATTAAATTGTTGATATCATTAAGTAAGCATTTACAAAATTAATTGGAAATGCCCAAGAAGTGAGAAGTAAAAACAATAACTTTAATTTTAGCTGCTTTGAGTGTTATTTGAGTGAGGCCATGTAAAACAAGTAGTACAAATTAAATTCCCACAAAAATACTTGAAAGTAATTAATGTTAGGATTACTTATCAAGTTTCCTTAGAAATAAATGTCAGGATGACAGTGAAAAGGTGGAATAATCACCTTTGAAAATATGCCCTTCCATAAAAGCTTGCAGGAATTTTTAGAGTCAACTTTTTCAAAACTCTGAAAATATAATTAAAGACTTACAGGCTCCCATTCACAAAAAATGGATGAATCTCAGTAAAAATAGTGAGTTTGTGGTGTTTCGTCTTATTCTTTCTTATCTGTGCTCCAGCTCACCCGCATTGTGAACTTGAGTTGATAAAAGGGATCTATGAACATCTACAGCCAACATTCTGCTGAATGGAGAAAGGCTGAAAGCTTTCCCCATGGATGTTCACTCTTACCACTTCCATCTAACCTTCTAACCATCTAACCTTCTTCCAGAAGTTCTAGCTAGGCCAATTAGGCAAGAATAAGAAAGAAAAGGCATCCATTTCAAAAAGGAAGAAATAAATAACATGAAGAGAGATCCTACAGAATGGAAGAGAATCGTTACCACTCACACCTGATAGAGCACCAATGTCCAGGTTATATAAAGAACTCAAAAAACTTAACACCAAAAAAACAAATAACCCAATCAATAAATGGACTAAGGAACTGAATTGATACTTCATAGAAGAAATACAATCAGTCAACAAACATATGAAAAAATGTTTATCATCTCTAGCAATTGGAGAAATGCAAATCAAAACTACTCTAAGATTTCAAATCACTCTAGTCAGAATGGCAAGTTATTAATAATCAAGGCAATAATAAGTGTTGGTAAGGTTGTGGGGTAAAAGATACACTCATACATTGCTGGTGGAACTGCAGATTGGTGTAACCAGTCTGAAAAACAGTATAGAGATTCCTCAGAAAACTTGGAGTGGAACCACCATTTGACCCAGCTATCCCACTCCTCAGTTTATGACAAAGAACGTAAAATCAGCATACTACAGGGACACAGCCACATCAGTGTTCATAGCAATTCAATTCACAATAGTTAAACTGTGGAAGCAACCTAGATGCCCTTCAATAGATGAAGGGATAAAGAAAATGTGTTCCATATATACAATGGAATATTACTCAGCCTTAAAGAAGAATGAAATTATGGCGTTTGCAGATAAATGAATGGAACTAGAGAATATCATGCTAAGTGAAATATGCCAATCCCTCAAACCAAATGTTTTCTCTGATAAATGGATGCTGATCTATAGTTGGGGTGGGTGGGTAGGGAAAAATGAAGTAACTTTGGATTGTGCAGAAGAGAGGGGTGAGGCGGTGGGGATGGAAAGAATGACAGAATGAAACAAACATTATTACCCTGTGTACATGTATGATTACACTACTAATGTGACTCTGCACCATTTACAGCCAGAGGAATGAGAAGTTGTGCTCCATTTGTCAAAATGCATTTCTCTCTCCTGTATAACTAACTAGAATAAATTAAAAGTTAAAAATAGCTTTATTTCTTCCTTTTTTTAAAAAAAAAATTATCTCTTTTTAGATAATGTGATCTTATTCATATGTAGAAAGCCTTAAACAATTTACACACACAGATACACACCAAGAAAAACTATTACAACTAATATTTTTTCAGACTATAAAATCAGTATTTTTTAAAATTCCTATAAAAATGCAAGATACACAGAATTGCCAAAAGAATTTGGAAAAAGAAGAGTGAAGTTGGAAGACTCAGATTTCTTAATTTCAAAACTTACTATTCTACAGTAATCGATGCAATGTGGTATGAAAGCAGACATACAGATTAATGGAATGTAATTGAGAGTTCAGAAATAAAGCCGATTGATTCTCAACAAGGGTGCCAAGACCATTTAATTAGGAAAGAAATAGTGTTTTCATCTAATGGTATGAGCACAACTGAATATCCACCTCATATCATAAACAAAAATTAACTCAAGCGTTTCAAAGACAAAGAGTTTGAACTATAAAACCCTTAGAAGAAAACATAGGCACATATTTCTTTGTCCTTTTACTAGGCATCAGTTTCTTTGACATGAAAAGAATAAACAACCAAAGAAAAAATACATAACTTGAATTTCATCAAAATTTAAAATTTTTGTATACTATTAAGAAAGTGGAAAGAGTGTGCATGTATGAATATGTAACAACAAATCCTATCAATATGTACAACTATAATGCACCGATAAAAATAAGGAAAGAAAAAAAGGTGGAAAGAAAACTCAGAAAGGGGAAAAAATATTTGCGAATCTTATATCTGATTACTGACTAATATCCAAGAACTCTTACATTTCAATAAAAAATCTAATTCAGAAATGGACAAAAGATTTGAACATTTTTCCAAAGAAATTATACAAATGTACAATAAGCACACATGAAGATGCTCAACATGAGCCGTTAGGGGAATGCAAATCAAAACCACAATGAGATGCCTCTTCACGCTCATTAGGATGGCTATGATTTTAAAAAGGGCCAGATGTGGTGGTGCAGGGCAGTAATCCCCACTACTTGGGAGGCCAAGACAGGAGAATGCAAGTTCGAAGTCAGCTTAGACTACTTAACCAGACCTTGTCTCAAAAAAAGAAGAAAAAAAGGCTATGGTTGTAGCTCAATAAAAGAACATTTGCATAGCATGTATAAAACCCTGGGTTCAGCCACTGCCACGAGTCTGAGGCAGGTGCCCGACATGGCAAGTGCTGTGCTGCCGACCAGATCTCAGTATGCGGCGGCGGCGGGCAGCCTCCAGGGCTTCGGCTCCGGCTTCTGCTGTTGCTCCTCTCCGCGGCGGCTCTGATCCCCACAGCCCAATCCTGATGGGACTGGAAGACTGATGATTCTCCAGTGAAACTGAGGAAGAAAGTGGTCTACCCATCAGTCTTCAGCTGGTTGCCGTTGCATAAAACTACTGTTTTATCTTTAACTGTCTTGGTTTGTAGATGAATGATAGCTGATTCTCTTTGCCTACTTTGAGGATAAATACCTTCCTGTTGCATCTTCCATTTTAACTAACACATACTTAATCTAAAATATACTTCCATGTAGATATTTCTTTTTCTTCTTGACAGGTACATACATGAGTGTATTTCTTTATGCTGAGTCAAAACATGTCAAAATAATGACCATGTTTTTAATGGAAATTTTAAATTTCAGAATGTTAAAAATATATAGGAGCTATTTGGTAGAACCTGTTTGAATGTGGGGATTTATTACAGCCTGAAAATGGTATAATTGACTTACTTAACAAATTAACAAGCTGGAAAAGAAAGATTTTCAGACAAAAAGGGAAGTTGTTCAGACATAGGAAGACTTTTTAAGGGTTAAAGTCAAAGTCAGAGGACCTCATATGGAGCTGCTGACTTGACATGAGATTAGCCCCTCTGCAAATGACCCAGGAGATGCCACCTAAAGTGGTGTATTGATGCTTATGTCTGGGATGTTGTAGGTACCGACAAAACATACCTGGAGATATGGCAGGCCTTTATTAGCTAGTATTTGGCTTTGGGATCAGTATTGCCTAACTAAACAGTCACGCCAACATTGGGGCATGACTATGAGTTTGGTTGTATTTTGGTAGATAACAGAGAGTGATTTATCATTGACCTAAGAAACAAAAGAATGAGATGAGGCTGAGTGTGTTTGTGGTGGCACCTGCCTGTCATCCCAGCTATTCACGAGCCTGCTGTAAGAGGATCATGAATTTGAGGCCAGTCTCAGCAGCTTAGTGAGACCCTCTGTCATGATAATATAATGTGGGCTGGGGATGAAGCACTCACCTAGCTTGTGCAAAGCCTGAACCTAATACCAAAGATGAAAAAAAAGTAAAATAAAAAGGAAACAAAAAGATGGAATCTTCATCTCTCAGTCTGACTGCTAAACTTGTTATTTTAAGGATTGTTTCAAAGCTTTTATTTGGTGTTCAATCCCCAGTGTCACAAAAGGAAAAAAAAAAAAAAAACACAGTGTTGGTGAGGATGTGAAGATATTGGAACTCTTTTTTTTTTTAAGATATTGGAACTCTTAGATTGCTGATGAGATTATGGAATGGTGTTGCAAACAATTTATTCTTTAAAATGATATGATGTAGTTACCATCTGAATCATCAGTGCCATTCCTAGATACATACCCAAGAGAACTGAAAATATGTTCACATAAAAATTATTAAATAATTCATATTAGTGGAAATAACCTAAATGTCTATCGGCTAACGAATGATGAATGGATAAGCAAATTGTGAAATATGATTTAGCACACACAAATACATGGTACATCATAAAAAAACTTTGAAAAACATTGTGCTATATGAGAAGCCAGACATAAAAGACCGCATATGTTTTACTCATATGAAGTATTCACAAAAGAGAAATCTATAGAGTAAGTAGATTAGTGGTTGCCAGGAGCTGGAGGGAGGAGGATTGTTGAGTGATGGCTAATGGATACAAGGCTTCCTTTTGGGTAATGAAAATGCCCTGGAATTAGGTAGTGGTGCTGTTTGAACAACCATGTGAGTGTAATAAAAGCCACTAAATTATTTTAATACAGTGAATGACCTTTCAACCACAAAATAAATGTCATCATTATAAGTGATATTTATGCCCAATTGATCATGGCTTTGTTATGTGCTATATTGATTAACTTGAAAGACATGGATTAACTTGAAAGCCATATATACAGATACATGCAATAGTAATATGTATATTTAAATGTAAAGTAAATAAATATTTTCTCCTATAGAGCTTCTTTATTACCTCTAAAATTTTTTGAGATCAGATTTTGTGGCTTAACAATCTATATTCAGTTAAATTCTTAACATTAAATTATTTCATCATATTTTGATATGGTGAGAAACATCTCATTTAAACTTATTTTTTCTTTAAACAACCAAGTCATCAATGATGATTATGTAGAAAAAGCCATTTAGAAATTGTTCACTTTTTTTTTTTTTTTTTTTTTTTTGATACTGGGATGAACCCAGAGGGAATTTGCCACTGAGCCACCATATCTCCAGTCCTTTTTATTTTGAGATAATAGAAAAGTTGCTGAGGCTGACCTTGAACCTGGAATCCTCCTGCCTCAGCCTCCCAAGTTACTGGGATTACGCCACTACCCCTTGCTTCATTTATTTCTATTCATGGCTAATATATAACTACAACTATTTAAAATTTCCTTGGGATTTGAGCAGCTCTGTAAGACAGAATTTTATACCACCATTTGGGGTTTTTTCATAGCTGTTTTATAAAGATATCTATATTTTATAAAATGCACTACTTTATAAATTTTATAAAAATCTTATTAAATTTTATAGAAAATTTGCTCATATGAAAAGATAAATTTGTAGATAGTTGAAAGTAATTTTATACATGTAAATAATTGTATATAATTTTTATATATGATATTTTTCAGGTCAAGCAAATAAAATTGCCAAAGAAGCTGCTAACAGATGGACTGGTAGGTTAGAGTGAATCTGGTAAACTATAGTTAAACTTTTATACTTACATTGATGTGAAATTCAGATGCCTTTGTACTAGCTTTGTTCAAGAAAGGGATTTCTGGAAATGTATGCATTGCTCAAGTTATTGTATATTAAATCTTTTCAGTTAAGATAAGTTTATGTTTTAAAATCTTATAATTCACTTTGCAAAAGTATATTTTTGTAAAACCAATGACACTTCCAGTTGAACTTTATGTAACTTTTCCCAAGATAAATCATTTGGATTAATTGCTTAGCTTTCACATGTATTAATAAAATATATAGTTGAATTTTCACATATATTTATTATAAAATACACCTTTTAAGAGTTTCAAAGAATCCTAAAGATTTATCTCCTTGCAAATAATAATAGCTAATGTTTGTTGAGGCTGTTTTCCAATTTTGTAATGCTTATCTGTGGTGTCTCCTCAATTATTTTATGAGGTAGATTTGATTATTATCTTTCATATTGAAGATGGGGATAAGGCCCTCAGGAATCCAAGGCCACACATTCACTAGGCTGTGAAACAGGAATAGAATTCTGGTTGTCTGATTCCATAGTCCAAGCTCTTACCTACCATGTAATACTGTCTTCTATGTAAGCCTGCTTTCAGAGAATCCATTTGCAATGGGTACACCCTCTGATCCACACTAGAAATAATCTAAGAAGTGAGAATTAAGGCATATGTATGTGTCTTAATATTTAGGGAGAAGATTAATAAATAGTGATTGCTTGATTTATAAACAAGTATAATTAAGATTCTTAAAACCTGCCAGAAAATGAAACTGATATTTTTATATTATAAAATAGTGGCAATTGAATTTTTCCATCCTATTGAGAGTCTGTAATGTCTTCCTTTGTATTAGTCATCCTCATTATGTTTCTGTGGGAGAATATGGATGAGATTGAAGCAGAGATGTGAAAAGCTTAAAGTGACTATGTTTAGTCAAAGTGGATTAGTCACTGGAAGAACAGAGATTTTTGCCAGCTTTTCCTGTCACCCTGTCCAGGCTTGTGTTTCACACACACACACACACACACACACACACACACACACACAAAGAAGAATCATTTTTTCCTAGTCTATTTTAGAATCAAGTAGATTTGGTGACATCAGTAAAATTGGTCTTTTGTTCCTTTATTACAAAGTTATTCCCTACATGATATAGTGCTTTAGTGATAAGAACAAAATAAGATAAAAAGAACAAGCTAATATTGAAGAAAAGAGAATTGTGTCTGATGAAATATCAATAAATAATAAATGCAATGATATTGTATGGGTTTGACAAATGCCAAATTCTGAGTGTGACATAAGAAGCAAGCTGACTTTTAGGTTAGAGATAAGAGTCACCAGGCGATTTGGCCCAGGAGTTCTCAACAAAGCATCACAGCAAGCAGTAGGAACAGGCATCATGTGTGTACAGTGCGAGGAACTTGACTTTGAAAAGTGTCCAAGCCGAGCTCCTTATTAGCTAAGTGACCCCTTGAACTTCTCTGAACCTGCTTCCTCATGTGTGCAGTGTGGATATCCACGTCACATTTTGAGAGGCCTAAATAAGACAGTCTGTAAACTCTTCAACACAATATTAGACACATCAGTAAATTCCCTCTTCCTTTTCCCATTCTTCATCATAAATTTCAGTTAAATAAACAATTATAAATTGTCTTCCAATTCATCATAAACTTCCTAGATTATAATTAGAAAAAAAAACTGGCATTTTTAAAAGTGTGTGGAAGAAAGATATTTTTAGAATAACAGAAACAGCTGTTAAGAAACATTTCCATGTGAGGTTACAGCTTATTTTTTCTAGCATAAACATGTATTATGAAGGCGGAGATAAGTGATAAAGCAAATCACAACTCAGAAAATCTCCCTCTCATGAAAACAAACAGAAAATATCAGTATTATAACTAAAAATTATTAATTAGCTATCAATTAAGGTTTGGTTTCTTTCTACATAACAAAGTCTTTAAAATGTATCTATAATTGAGAGTATTTTCTGTTTAATAATATAGAATGAAATTACTTAGTATAAATATAGGAAAATCACATTTTATTGTTTTGCAACATTAAATACACTTTAAATGTGATTAACAAATTATATCACCTAAAACCTTACTTATTAATAATTAAAACAGTAGTTTTTGTTGTTTTGCTGTGCTAGACATTGAACCCAGGGCTAAGCTACATTCCAGCCTGAGATAGGGGAGTTTTTGTAAACACATACAAGAAGCATCTTAATGTGTGAGGTCCTAAGAGGTTTATAGCAAGTGATATTGCCCATCCTATTCCTATATGTATCTTGGGTATGCAACCAGGTCGATTAACAAGAATTTACTAGACTTAAGGTTGTTTTTAAACAAAATTATTCTTTATCCATTTACAAAAATTTTTATATAATAGGAAAATCATAAGATAGGGAATGACTTATCAAGATATGGATATGTTATCTTGAAGACAGATAGCTTATGGCCCAAGGAAGTATTTAATTCTATTAGCATTATTGTAAAGAAGCTTTTATTTGTTACTACTTTTGTGTTAATATTCGAGTAAATATTCAGATTAAAATGTTTTCTTGTCCTGTGTGAACCAGAAACTCCTTCCTGCAGAGACTGTTGAATAACCTCACTTTGGTGCCTCATTTTCATCTCTCCTGACCCATGTTCAAAGTCTGTTCACTGCAAGCTTCTTCCAGTATTATTTATGTTCTCCCATGTCCTAGAAATCCTTCTGTACTCATGAAGCCTATCTTGAAAGCTATGCACATAATACTTGGTCTTTTCTCTCTAACACACATATCACTTTGGAATTGTTCTGTAATAAATTAATGATATTTCTCTCTCATGTCAGCTTGAAGGCATAGGTTCTTTACATTCTGTAGTATCTTTAATACACTTAATACCTATATTCTGTAGCAGTGGGCCCTTACAAATACTTGACTATGATTGGCAAGAATGTTTTGATTGTTAAGTACTAAAAGATCATCCTGGAATACCTCATGCTATTGTTTTAATATTCTCACTTCTTATGAAAAGTAAAGATTCATCCAGTAGCAGTGGGGCACACCTGTAATCCCAGTGACTCAGGAGGCTGAGGCAGAAGGATTGCAAGTTTGAGACCAGCCTCAGCAAATTATCAAGGCCCTAAACTCAAAAAATAAAAAGGAGGCCGAGGATATAGCTCAGTTGGTGGAGTGCTTGGCTCTCATGCACAAGGCCCTGGGTTCAATCCCCAGTGCCACACACACACAAAAATAATCATCAACATAAATTTAAAAAATAAAAAGGGCTAACGATATGGCTTAAGCACCCTTGGGTACAGTTCCCCCCACCTGCCAAATAAAGAGTGAAGGTTCATTTTTATACTGTTGACATAGCACAATACTTTATTTTTTATTAATTAATCTATTTAAATTAGGTATATGACAGCAGAATGCATTTTGATTCATTGTACACAATTGCAACATAACTTTTCATTTCTCTGGTTGTACACGATATATAATGTCTATATAATGTCGCATCATATGTGCAGTCATACATGTGCCTAGGGTGATGATGTTTATCTCATTCCACCATCTTTCCTGCCACCATGCACCCTCCTCACTCCTCCCTCCCCTTTGCCCAAAGTTTCTCCATTTTTCCCATCCCCCCAACACTTTAAATCAAAGAAATGATATTTTTGTTAGACTGCCTATTCTATGTGAAGCAGCAGTATTCACCTTAGAAATAAAAATTCCAGGAATTTTTTTATCATCATTTGATACTTGGAATTAAACTTCCACTGAAACTATATTAAAGAGTGATAAAGCTTCATATATATATTAATTGACAACCTGCAATCCTTTTGCCTCAGCCTCCTGAGTCACTGGGATTCCAGGTGTGCCCCACTGCTCCTGGATGAATCTTTACTTTTCATAACAGGTGAGAATATTAAAACAATAGAATGAGGTATTCCAGGATGATGCCAGAAGATAATACCAGAGTGGTTTATGCAGCAGAAATTTATTTTTTGACCATTCCCAAGGCTTCAAATCCAAAATCCAGGTGTTAGCAAGGTCCCATTCTGAAGCCTCTCCTTGGTTTGCACATGACTGTCCCCCTCCCCCATCCTGGGTCCTCCCATGGTCTGGGCAAAGCTAATGTCTCTCAATGTGCCCAAATATTCTTTTATTATAAAATTGAATTAGAGCCCAGCTTAACCACCTCATTTTTAACTTAATCACCTTCTTAAAGATCCTGTCACCAGTACAGTCACATTATGAGATAAGGGGGATTAGGACTTCAAATATGAGTAAGGGGAGGAGAAGTAGTAGCATGATTAGCCCATAACACTCCAGAAGAACCCATTTGAGCCCTTTGCTTCATTATCACTACTAATACAGTGCTTAACATATTCTGACAAACCAGAAAACCTTACATCATTGTTTTTCTATGTGTAGAATAATTTTCATTATAAAAGTTGTTTGTGTATATAAAAGAAATGCGTGAAATTAAGGTGGGGAAACTCACCCTCATTCCCATTCCCCAAACGCAGTCACTGTTGGCATGTTAGACATTTGCATTGCTTTTTTTGTTCGCTCTTTGCGCTCGCTGGCGCGCGCTCTCTCTCTCTCTCTCTCTCTCTCTCTCTCTCTCTCTCCTTTAACTGGGATGAATGAAAATCCTTGACTAAAAGAAATCTTTGCACATACTTTATTTTCTTTCATTGGGATATATTCTTTTAAGTAGAAATAACACATTTTTAATTGATAAAAGGCATTTATACCCCCCACCCCACCCCAGGGGATACCAAAGACACATCTGTTCCTATCTTTGTCTTAAGAGACAGAAACCCTTTCCCTTTCCCTCATCCCTTCTCCCTCACACTGGCCTGATTGTTTGAAAGCCATTTCTCTCTGAGGGCGAGAAAGAAGTATCTGGAAAGCATGTGTTCCTATTGGAACAACTGATTCCTGAGGCAACAGTCAGACCTCTGTGGTGAAAATGCAGAAGAGATACCATTAACCAGTCCCTGTCTGTGTTGTTTAACAGCACATAACTTACTGAATTTTTTAATATGAGATATGTTCACTTGTCCAAAATATCTTTTATTTACAGTTATTGCTGTTAATCTTGAAAATAAAGACTACTTAATACAGCAGAAAGCAATAAGAGGAAGTAAAGGAGCAATGAAGATAATTGCATTTGAAATATTTTATGATTGTGTTTTTAATTCTTAAAACTATTTCTCGCTCTCTTTTTCTTTTAGATAATATATTTGCACTAAAATCCTGGGCCAAAAGAAAATTTGCATTTGAAGAAAATAAAATTGATAAAACTTTTGGAATTCCAGAAGACTTTGATTACATAGACTAAAATGTTCAATGGTTGTAGAGGATCTATGAGCTTGTAAATATGTAAATTTTAGAATATTTTTCAACTAACTGTACTGAATTTTCATTTATTGTAACTATCATTTTATTATTTTTAAATAAAATGTGAAATGCAGGGGCTAGGGCTGGGGCTCAGTGGTAGTCTGGCATGTGTGAGGCTCTGGGTTTGATTCTCAGCACCACATATAAATAAATTAAATAAATGTCTACCGATAATTAAAATAATATTTTTTAAAAGTATGAAATGCAGATAATCTTCACCTTTTTTGATAGATTGAAAGCAGGCTGATAACTATATACCTCAGTGCTCATTCAAAGTTAAGATAATACAAAGTAAAGTCATCCATCTCAGTCAAATCAAATTTATAGATGTTTTTTCAAAGGTCAAAAGCATGACTTTTTTGTTTTCATTTAAATATTAAATACTAAGGGTGCATTTGAAGACTCTGTTATACAAATACATAGTACATGTTGATGTTTAGAAATAATCTTTAAAACCCTGATGGTTGTATTATTGTTTCTCAATATTGGTGGAAAATGTGTGATTGATACTCAGTATACTGAATCATCTTTGCAAATCTCCCACAGGGAAAAACATATAGAAAATTGGTGTTTCTCAATTTTGAGTTAAGTAGTAGTTTAACATAGACATGCAGACCACCTTCTTCTGAGTTTTTGATACTTTTTTCTGCTGGAAGTAAGCATACAGTTCTTTGTCCTGATTTATGCACTTTTTATAAGATCATAAAGTTGTTTGTATAGTATACATCACCAACTATGCAGAATTCTAGGTTTTTATAAACTATCAAAGGGATAGGCTAAAAGTAAAATAAATCCCACGTATATATATATTTTTTTAACCAATTCAGCTTAGAGTTTTTGCAAGCACTCCAAAAGAGACTTTTAAAGGAAAAGATAAAAATTGATAATGTCTTTTACAACACATGCCTTTTTTTTTTTTTTTTTACACTGTCCAATCTTGGTATTCTTTTAACTTGAGTGAAATACTCCGTATGTCTGAAATGACCCAAATGGCATCCAAACCATTTGTTAGTGAATCTGGATTTGTATTGTAGGGAGTTCCTCTGGGCCTACTTAATCACTTCTTGGGGGTAGACAGGCACAAATTGGTCCATCTTTGTTGGTGGGGCCTAAGCCTTTTTTTAAAACACTGATTGTGAGATTTCCAAAGTTTCTCAGACCCAGTTGTCATTTATTAGAAATCATGCTTTCTTGCTTAGAAAGTATGTTATGTTCAAAAAATAAGCCATTTCTTATAAAACCTAAAAAATGCTGTTGTATAAGTGTTGAGGCAACTTTTGAGAGGGTATCTTTATGGGTCTAATACACAAATGAATAAAACTATCTATTTGTGAGATTATATCAGAGATTAGGACACCCTTGTATTGCCAAAAATGTACTGGTATATGCTTAATAACTGACTCTAGGGAAAGGGGAGGCTGATTTAGTATTTATTTGTATGTTGTTAATGCTCCCAGCATAGCCAATTTCAGGTTACTAATGTGATAACAATACAGAACTGGAAAAGAAGGTCAGTGTACACAATTTTGTAGTACTCCTACTATAAGGTCCTTGCTTAGCATCTGGATGGCCATTTTAAGGAAAAAGTTTTGATTTCCCACCCAAGGGCCTTCCTGAGAAAGGCTCACCACTCCCTCATACCAACCCAACCCTTAACTACCTGCATTGGACCCGCCCGGTTCTGATTCCTGAGCCTTCCCCATAGAAGTCCAAGAACTCAAGCCTGTTTTGCCTCTCTCTCCTATAGAGAGATGGCCTTCATTTGTCAGCTCTGATGAATAAACTCTTGTGTGTATCTCTGCCTGGTCTCTGTCTTTCATTTCTCGCTTTCCCCTCACCTACCATACAGATGCAGTAGATAAAAATAATCTCAAGAACATAAGTAATAGTAAAATAATTAGGGAGAGATGAATTTTTTATCTTTGTTTTTAATAAAGTTCATTGCAAAGGGATTAGAAAAGGAAATGAGCACAACAACAATTTATAAACTTAGTTATAAATTATAAACCAAATTATAACTTAATCTTTCATGATGTCTGTGTCTAACAGCTAGCTTGCTGTTAAAATGGTTGATTCGCCTGCCCCAGCACACCACTGTTGATAATCTTTTTTTTTTTTTTTTTTTTTCCTGAGGGGTGGTATATGCTAAGGGTTGAACCCAGAGCCTTGTGCATGCTCAGCACTGCTCTACCACCATTACTAATCTTTAAGAGTTAAATTTGGAGATACTAATTAAGTAGCCCAGGGGCATTAGTTCAGCCAGACTCAAGGTAATCCTTAGTCTTGGACTGGTTTTGTTATTGATCCCAGAATTTATGTGATGCAACTTGGGTAAACAGAATTATAAGTGATCTAGGACCAAATATGATTCAGTAAGTCATGCTATGCTTGATAATCCCAATATCTTTTCAATGAATTATGCAGTTTGCAAGGTATTTGAAACCTGATACCCATCTTATCAACCATTTCACATGTAGTTATCTTTTAAATCTCAGAAATAATATATGTTCTAATTTTAAGAGATTCTAAAAAAAGATAGTGTCCTGGTAACTTTCACAGTTATCCAGGAGCAGATCAAATCACCGAATTGTTCTTCCTGTGGCAATGCCACTCCCTACTGGATAAATCGGTATGAATTTTCCTCTGATGTTTGCCACATCATTAGTCTAACAGGATTATAAAGTTCTTGGCCTGTTTCAGAAATAAATGCTATTATTCTAAATTTTATCAAACATGATCCTCTTTAAGGGATTAGAAAAGGAAAGGAAATGAGTACAACTGGCAACCCAAAACCTAGAACCACGCCAGTAATTCTTGCACAGAAAAGTCCAGATTATAAATCTGGTAATACTGTTTTTTGAGAACATGAAGTAAAATACCTAGAAAATATTTCTTAGGTAATATGGTATTATCTGTAAGAACAGCTAAATGTGACAGATGGTAGGATTGTGTCTGAAAATTATGTATAAACTCCCTTTCAGGATATGTTTCCAGGATATGCCAGGATGAAAATGTACTATATTATGAAATGACCCACTACAATGGACTTATATAAGTTATGCTTATCCCAGACTGATTTTAAAAGAAAATTATTTGAGAGGTAAACAACATGGGCTGCCTTCTTCCAAAATACTCATAGTTGAATCTCAAGGTTAATGGATTCTATGGATAAACTAGTGACATACCGTCTGAGGGCCTATCTTTTACTGTCTTTTTACATCTTTAATGATGTAAAAATAAACAGGAATATATGACAAAGACTATATGTATTCCACAAAGCCAAAAATTATTTTGTATCTGACCCTTTACAGAAAGGTTACCACCCTGAAAAGTCAACTATTGACAGCCTGTGGTTTAGCCATGACAGGCAAGATGTATTTTATTTAGCCCAAACTATATTTTATTTTTTAAATTTCCAACATATTTAGGCTGTAAAATATCACATGAAAACTAAGATTTTCAGCTTCTTTTGGATATTATTAAGAAATCATAAATCCTTCCATATGGCAGCAGATAAGCTCAAGGTGAATAGTACTGGCTCAAGGGATCATAAGGCAATTCATTAGACCACCAACATACAGCTTTCTTCCTTAAGTCACAGTTTGGTTCCAAGTTGACAGACTGATTTGTTATTAAATTTTAGTTTCAACTTTTCTAATTTCAGAAAAAAAAATTGATGTTATTTTGTTTTTGATTGATAACTAAGGGAGAACTGATAATCTTGATGAAACATTTTATTCAAAAACAGGGATTTTTTGCATTTGCTCAAGTATCCTTTTATATTTTTCCAATAATTTTGTTATTTTCTTCATGTGGATTTTTTAAAGTGTGTTTTAAGTATTTCATCTTTTTTTGCCATTTTTAAAGAGACTTTTCTCTTCCATTTTATCTTTTGGTTGGCATAATTTATGTGGCTGAAGGCTATTGCTTTTGCATATTTTCTTTCTTTATTTGCAGTGTTGGGGATTAAATCCAGGGCCTCGTGCATGTTAGGTAATTATACAACCAGTGTACTATATCCCCAGTCCCTGCATATTAATTTTGTATCCTCCTGTTATGTGAGTTCATTTTCTGTTATTATAACTGAATAACACAGACTGGGTAAAGAATAGAGGTTTGCTTAGCTGAAGGTTCTGGAGGCTGGGAAGTCCAAAAGTATGGCCTCAGCATCTGCTGAGGGTCTTTTTGTTGCATCATAACATGGCAGAGGGCATGAATGGCAAGACAGTGTGCTAGCTGGAGTCTCCCTTCCTATTATAAAGTTACTAATACCATGTTGGGTCCCCACCCTCATGTCCTCATCTAATTCTAATTACCTCCCAAAGGCCCATCTCCAAATGTGGATTTGAGCATTAAGTTTCCAATACATGAACCTTTGGGGGACACATTCAAACCATAGGGCTCACTAAATTCTCATGTTTCAGTTTGTTTATAATTCTCTGAAATTTTTTTGGTATACTGCTATGCCATTGCCAAATATAACTTTAACTCTCCCAGTTCTTATCCTTCTAACTTCTTTATATAATTGTATTAACTAATATCATTCATGAAACTCTAGTGGAGATCAAGGTCATCTTTGTCTTGTTTTTGGCTTTAGGAATGCCTTCACTATTTCTGCATTAAGTGAAATTCTGACTTTTATGATATGTAATTCGTAACATTAGTTAAGAAAGCATTCATCTGATTTTCTTAAGTGTTTTCATATAGAATGGTTGTTAAATTTGTCAAAGTCTTTTTCCATGGAGCTAATCCTGTGACCTTTCTCTTTAAATCTATGAGTAGGTAAATGAGATTAATGTTACTTAATGCATAACCATCCTTACATTCCTGGCCTAAAACCCTATTGGTAGTGGTAAATTGTTTCTTAATGTGGTGTGGAGTCTACTGCTAATATTTTTAGAATTTTTCCATCAACATTCACATGTGGCAGTAGTCTATGATTTTCTGCATGTGTTATCTTTATAAATTTGGTATCAATATTATGCTTGCTTCATAAAAAATTTGAAAGTTTTCCATCATTTCATATTCTATGAAATAGTTTATGTAACACAGGGACCATTTTGTCTCTAAAGATAACTATAATTTAAAACAAAAAATTGATTATTCTGTATGTATTGGTCAACAATGTTTTATCTTTCCTTTTTAACTATTATTGGACATTTTTATGTGTCTGTCCGTAGATTTACTCCACTTGTTTCACGTGCTATAAAAAATTTCTTTGCAAAAATATATTTTATTCAGCCAAGATTGTTGGACATTTGGTTTGTTTTCAGTTTCATGTTATTTCAGACAATATTTTCAAAGAACATTTCTAAACATTTGTTGGCACATTTGTGGAAGTTCTGGGGGTGAATTCGTTGATGAAAAAGTCACTATTCATGAAGAATTGACCTTCTAAAAAGAATGAGAAACACAAGACAGAGCTGAAGTCTGTAGAAAATAAGGGAAAGGGTAATGACTTTGAGAACTTTTCAAGTTGCTTTTACCATGGGAAAAGCAGTTTTAAGTATTTTTTACTAAAAAGATTTGTATAAAATGAGCTGGGAATCTATTATCAAAACCAGATTTGTAAGAAACACTGTCTTTTGGCTGGAATTTGTTAATGAAAAAGTAAATTTGTAATGTTCACTGATCTTTAAAGATTAGCTGTCAAAAGTTGAAGCTCAAATGCTTTCTGAAAAACTCTTAAAATACACCTACTAGTGTGGAGACTGGATTTGAGAGAAAGGGTGAGTTATTTTGCAAGCCTGAACTTGGAAGGCATCATGTTTCTCATAACATTTTGAAAAGTAACTATGGGAACTTTTAACCCGTTTAAGTTGAACAGATGTGTAATTTTTTTCTGTCCAGTTGTGGTTGTTACTGTGTTTAAGTGAATGTATCCCTTACTTGCATGTGTTTCCTGTGTTGTGTGGGCTCCAGAGACCCACACCTGAGTGAATTTAACTTGCTCAGTAAGTTTCCATCAGAGCAGATTTGGTGTGATTCTTGGGTCAACAGAAACAAATATTTTGCCTTGAAATACCTGAATAAAATCAGTTTGGACAACAGGGATAGAAATGACCTATTTGTTTTTAATAGATAAAAATACATTTTTAGTAATAGTACTTCCCTTAATGGATCCAGAAAAGTAGCTTGTTTTTTGGAACAGTATCAACATTTGATGTGCCACAGCTTCAGGGAATAAAGTGCCTAGATATCACGATTATTTTACATAACCATAATTGAATGTCTAAGAAGTTGCTTAACTTTTCTCATATAATGACAGAGTATTTAGAAGCAAAGATAGCCATATTATATTACAATGTTAACTATGTTATAATAAGATTTTAGGAGGAAGGTGGGGATGTGGGAACTAAATATATTTTGAAGTGTCAGATGGCCTTCTCCCTACTAGACAAAAGCTCCTTGATGCTATGCTTTTTCTTTTCTGAAGATTCAAAACACCTCACAAAGCATATGACATAAAAAAATTAAAACTTTGTCATTGCCAACCACAAATGGACACTCACCATTGCTTATCAACGCTTTTATTTAAGTTATAATTGGCCTTATTCCAAAAGGGCCATAAGGCAGCTGTTACTTTTCAGTCAACCTTTCTCTCAGTCCCTACAAACATTTCAAACATTTGCCACTGAGATCTCAGCTACACTTTCCTTGATTTTTTTCTATTAGAATTTGTTTTGTTTTAATTTGAGCCTTTCGTGCATAATCTGAACTTCCTAATCTCCCTACCTACAATTATTTTCATGCCACATTGCCTGTGCAGGCTACCCGCTACTCCTTCTCATGACC